AGTCAAACTAATCAAACTAATGTTCTCCCATAAAGTAGTTTTCCCTGTAACATCCAGAGGTCTGCTAGTTCTGCCATCCAGCTGCTGTTGAACAAAATGGCATTCATATTTGACTCTGTATTCCTAGTTCTTCTGTCCAGGCAATCATCAATTACCCACACGTTTTCTTTGGCATTGCTCACAAATGCAGCCGTTTCTTTCCATCCTTTATAGACCAAAGTTTAATCCCTGCCTTGAACATCACTGGTGCAAATTGATTTCTCGAACTCCAGCTTCTGTCTATTCCACTCCCTTTGACACATTGTTACCAGATTATTTTGCTTAAAGATACCTTTTTTTAAAAAAGTATGCATTCGGGGCCGGCCCGGTGGCGGCATGGTTAAGTGCGCGTGCTCGGCTTCCACGGCCCGGGGTTCACAGGTTCGGATCCCGGGCACACACCGATGCACCACTTGTCAAGCCATGCTGTGGCGGCGTCCCCTACAAAGTAGAGGAAGATGGGCACGGATGTTAGCCCAGGGCCAATCTTCCTCAGAAAAAAGAGGAGGATTGGCAGCAGATATTAGCTCAGGGCTAATCTTCCTCACACACACACACACACACACACACACACACACACAAAATATATATATATGCATTCCTTTTTTTAAAAAATTTCAAATGCTTACCCTTACCTATAGAATAGAGTTAAAATCCAGGACCTAGCCGTTCAGGCTGTTTCATAATCTGACTCTAACCTACTTCGTTGATTTTGTATCCCGCGCTTCCTTGAGTCGGTTAAAATTTATCAACTGTCCATTCTGTTTTGACACTACGTGTGTGTTTGCCAAGCACATACAGTATTAAAACTCGCTTATTGAGTACTTCACATTGCTATGAGCTTCTTTAAGTGCATTTTATAAGCTTACCCCTTAAATCCTCAAAGGAACCCTGTGAGGTACATGCAATTATTAGCTTGATTGCATAGATGAGGAGGTGAGGCACAGAGAGGTGAAGGGACTTGGCCAAGCTTACCCAGTTTGAACATAGTAGAGTCAGGATCTCAACTGCTGTTCTCTCTCTTGTCTCCATTGCCGAGAATGTCTTTCCTCTTCTCCTTCTCAGAGCTGATTAACTTTTACTTAAGTTCTCAGGCTTAGCTTGGGTGTCACATATCCATGAAGCCTCGCATGATATTCATCTCCAGGCTGGCTTAGGTATGTATCCTCTGTATTTCCCCAACACCTTATCTATCCTTCTATGTCACAATACATTAAAGGAATATGCTTCTTATTTTTATATCTCTATACTGGGAACTCCTTGAGGACAAGGACTGTGTCTTTTTTAGTGTTATGTTCTTGATGCTAAGCACAATGCTGGTATATGAAGTGATCAATGAATATTGATGAATGAATGAATAAATGAGTGAGTTAATGAGTGAAAACAAAGGAACCCTGTTTCTAACAGCCTGCATGATGAGAAGAGGCTAAGATGTAGAATGTATTCATGGAAACAATATAAAAATATAAGTATCGCTATCTCAGTTGGCCAAAACTTCCTTATGAACATGGATTGGCTAAGACCACAGTGCATCCTTATCAATTCAGTTTCATTTTAAATACTGGCAGTGTGCTACAAGTTGGCGCCTAGAATATGATACTTCTAATCCCCTAGCATCTTAGGCACTATGCCAATTTAGTTCCAATAATTGGGATTGCACCTCTGGTCAAACCACCTCAGCTCTATGCCATGAATAGTCTGCCTTTCAAATTCATCCAGGAGCAGCTTGCCACCTTCGAGCTACACTCTTAGGCAGGATTGAAAGGACAGCAAGCATTTCTCCAACTTCTACTTCATGAGTTGGACAATTTCCAATTGTTAGTGGAGGGAGACAATTCTAGATGATTCTTCCAAGCATGAGGTGTGATTGTCTCATTTAATATACTTACTGTGCTGACAGGTTTGGCCCAAACCACCTTCTATTCTACTTGGGGACTATCCATTGTTCTCTAGTGTATGATTAGCAGATTAGCTATCATGTAAGAAGCCAGGGAAATGAACTCCCAGTAAGCCCTTCCAAAGCAAAAGTAATTCATTACCCAGTCTGATTTCCACTTAAAATGTACTTTAAGCACACTTCCAACTACAAACTCTAAATCACCCTGTGTTCACAAAGTCCATCATTTTTTATTTTATTGCATGGCGTTGGCGTGACATAATCCCTTGCAGAGCATCTCGGAGTGCTTTACAGATCAATAAATTACTTACCTGCACAGTTGAAACAATGTCTGCAAGGCCAGCTCAGTCATTCTGCAGGCAGCCTGTCCTCCAGGAAGCAGGCAAGGCTGTGTGGCTGCCAAGGATGGGCAGGAGCAGGGGCCAGGCAAATGTATGGGCTGGGGGAGTAGAGCTTCATGAAGTGAATGTTCCAGTTAAAACTCTGTGAATAAAATACATCAAGTGTAAAGGATTCTAGAACTAAGAGAGTTTAGAAATTTGGATCCTTCAGACAGTCAGCAAATCAAGTGTTCAGTCATAACTCATCAATTATCTTTCTGTTCTGGAAGATTCAATCTAGTTTTTAAAATGATACAGCCATAAATTGCAATCTTATGTCTTAGAAGTCCTGGATTGTAGAACCAATGGTTACTCCTCAACCCTCACCACACTGACTCTTCATTGTTTCTGTCCTACCAAATATTTGTGAGAGTGTAGGGAAGCGCGCACACACACACACACACACACTGCCTTTCCATCTGAAGCTTGATGTGGATTAAATCTAAAAATGGTTAATTGGTTCTTACTTTATGGAAGACACCCAATTCAGGACAGCAGAAAATAAAAAAAAAAGATGGGTAAGTCTTGCTCAGTATCTGATATTCAGATAATTTATAGCATAGAAGAAAGATGAGACAAATGAAATATAAGAGACTTTATTTTAAATGCCTTACAGGAGGCTATGGGATCCTCAAGAAGAAGAGGTCACATCCTCTTAGAGACCACTTGGGGGACCTTATGGAAGGGGGTGCTAACTCCACCAGGCCTTGAACAATTCATTAGGTATAGATAGTTGGAGAGAAGAGTCTAAGTGACCAAAATCAACAGCAAGTCCTAGGGATAAGGAAACAAAAATGCAGTGCATGCTTTTTAATGAGTGTTCCTAGTTGGGTGGAGCATGAGAGAGGAGGGAAAGACAATTTTAAAGGGAAGGAGGGAAAGGAACAAAGGCTAAGAGAAGGTATCTGCATGATTCTCCCTTTTTGTGGTGGAGAAGATCCAATTAGGAGTGAGTGATTAACAGTTCAGGTAGAGGAAAACCTAGCACTGAAATTTCCAACTAATCTGATTTTCATGTGAGGGTCATACTCTGGAACAGGTAACCAGGTGGAGGTTCAGCTTCACTGGGATCTCCAGCAGGCCAGATGGCATTGTGTACTGGGTGGATGATGTGTCCTGGAATTGCACACTATGGTAGCTCCGAGGAGTCTCAAAGGAAAGAACCTAACATGAAGACCCCTAAGAGAGCCAGATGGAGGGGCCACTTAATTTCCGAAAAACTAATGTGTCAAAACCAGTGTCAGTAGAATTGAAATGACATGTGTTAATGATCCAATTCTGAGGTTGCTACAAACATTTAGCAAGTTTGGAAGGTGGTTCCCTTGAACAACCATTGTAAATCCATCATATAAATATTTGTTGAGCTTTTACCATGGATATAAATATAAATAAGTCATGGTTCAGGCCATCAAAAAGCTCATGGTCTAGTGGGTGAGAGATGCTAAGCAAATAACCATAGGGTAAGTGCCAAGGATTGGTGTTTGGGGCCCCAAAAATGGCACTCTTACTTTATAAGCCAGTTGGCAGACAAGACAAATGAAAAGTCATATACAAACCAAATATCTCATTCACTGGTGGTTAAGATGATACTGGCGAATTAGACTTAGATGTGCAGCAGCAATGAGCTTCTAATTCTGAACCCCAGAATGAGATGGGTGCACACAAGGAGCTGCTGGCTGTGCTGCAGGATGTACGCATCCCCATGGGATGCTGCCCCATGAAACATGCACAAAGAGGAACACAACAGAATGTAGGCTTCCTACGGGAAGCCTGGTTCCAAAACAAATGATGAAGGAAGTGGGGAGGGAGTCCTGCCCCCAAATTTACCAATTTGAATGAACCCTTCCCCTCCTTGGGGGATTAATTTAGGTATAGAGAGAGAAAGAGACCAAGTGTGTTAAGGCTACCTGATGTTCCTTTTGTCGCCTCATCGGGTGTGTGTAGTGTACTCTGGGAACATGGATGAGAAGCAGCATTCATTTTGAGTTATACAGGAGGGCAGAGAGGAGTAGCGGTAGGAAAAGCTGCAACAAAGTGGCATTGGATTTGGACCTTAAAGGATGACTGGTAGTTTTCCAAGAAGGACATAAAGAACAATATAGATCCCCAATACATGATGACTAGGAGGGACATGATGTGTTGGGGATGAGAAGGGGAGTAAGTAGAGATGGAATCATTGGGAAGGACAGTGGAAACATAGGTTGGTGCTTGATTCTGAATGGCCTGGTATACTAGGATAGGAGCTTGGATGTCATCATATAGGAAATGGGGAGCAATTGGAGGTGTTTAGGCAGAGATGTGATATGATCAGAACTGCATTATATAAAAATGACTCTGAATGCAGCGTGGAGAATGACTCGTGGATATGTGTTGGAGATGGGTGGGGGTGAGAGTGGAAACAGGGAGAGGGCGGAGGCTAGGGGAATAGTTATTGCAGTATTGCAGTGGATTCCATTCCCATTCAGGTTCCCTGACTTTGTGTTTAAATAGGAGGAAATAAAAGCTAAATTCAAGGTAAGACATTTCTTTCATGTTTAAGGTAATTCCTCTAATGTCTTGTAATTTACTTCTATAGTTCTTATGAATTTCAGTCCCTGGGCTATTCTGCCAACTACGATTTTAAGACGACAAAGAAATGTTTCAGCAGGATTTTTATTGTCCTTCTACCTGTTTTGTCTCCACAGTGTCTCCCAAAATTGTAGAAATTTCTTCAGATATCTCCATTAATGAAGGGAACAATATCAGCCTCACCTGCATAGCAACAGGTAGACCAGAACCTACAGTTACCTGGAGGCACATCTCCCCCAAAGGTAAGAGAAGCAGTTTGCTGTGTCGTGTGGTGAGAGGAAATGGGAGAATTGTTTGTCATGACTAGGAGGTTACGGTGATCTAGTCCAAAGGGTCCTACGTTTTTAGGAGCCTAACAATATACTTAGGGCTCTGCAGAGAATTTTGGTATTCTCTGCAAGATAAGTATATTATCCTCTACGGTTTCAGAAATCATAGTTGAGGATCTTTCCAATCCCTGGGAAATTAATCCCAGTTGTTTCTGGATAAAGTGCTGGTAAGAGGTTCTGGGTGAACTTTACTAGTCGTGTTTGATGATGGAATGATTAGCTTTGGTGGCATTGTTCAGCTGGTTGTTTTAAGAGATAGGAAACACCGACACACAATGATGAATGAAATCTTTGAATGGCCATATTCCTAAAAGGAAAATTTCCAAGTCTGTGCCTCTTCAGCATTGCCAAATATCTGGTCTTTAGTCCATTAGTTGTTTTGTGGTTTTGTTGTTGTTTTACTCTGATTAATCCTAGATAACAATAACTTAATGTGTGACTATAGTGAAAAATTTACTTTGTCTAAATGTCTAGCTGTTTTGTAGACCAGACTAAGTGTTGTTTTGTGCTTTCATGGATTGAACGTTAAACCTTTAGAATTTAAGGCAAGATGCCATTTATCATTAAGCTAGCTTTTATGCGAGGTGCCTTAAACTATTTCATTTGTTCTTAAATACTTATTGAGTGCTTGCAATAGTCCAGGCACTCTTCTAAGCACTGGGGATATTGTTTATTTATATTATTTATATATTTATTATTTATATTATTGTTTATTTATATTATTTTTATTTATATTAAACAATAAACTGGGGTTTATTGTTTATTCTAAGCAATAAACCAAAACATACAAGTTCCTCCTCTCACGAGCTCACATTCTTATGAGAAAAATGACAAAAGGAATGAATATACAATATAACAGGTGGTGATAAGGATGAGATGATAGAGCAGCGTACATTGACAGAAGAACAAGAGGTTTGGTTAAGGAAGGGCTTTGAAAAGGTGACATTTGAGCAGAGAAATGAATAACGATTTTTAATTTCATTACTTATTGCCGGTTAACTTGAAACATGTTTATGTAAGTATGTATATATACATATGTATGTATGCATGCACGTATGTATGAAGGTATGTGTATTGTTGGGTGGTGCGGGTTTAAGGATTCTAAAGGAGCAATAGTGGTGGCTGTTTGCTTGGTGTTTCAGGTTGGGTTGCCCCAAAAGCAGACCCTGAGAAGGTGATTGGCTTGAAGTCTGTTTGAGGTGCTCTTGGGATCAACCCTGTGGAAGGGAAGGGAAGGAAGTCGGTTGGGCAGAGGGAGGAGTTGCACTGCAGTCCAGTAGAACGTCTCAGCTGACCTGTGGGGAGTTCTGAAGCTAAGATGACCTTTCAGAGATGTCCTCTGTTGAGGTGAGGGGGCTGGCCTTTACAGCAGCACAGCAGTCAGTCACTGAATTTGTGCTGTCCTCAGAAGGGCCAGGCCTCTCTCTTCACAAGAGACAGTCTCCATAAAGGGCTGCAGCTGAGGGCTGTCCACTAGCCGCACGTCCCCCCACTGGGCAGACGTCCTCCATTCCTGATGGTGGCAGTGCATTGCACTGTCTGCTACACTTGGACATTTCAAAAAATCAATTTAGGGCAATGAATGGGCCCTAAATACCAAATTCTGTCTCTCAGACAGTGACAGTTTGCCCTGATAGAAGTTCTCAGAGAAGGCATGAGACTTTCAATGTGTTTGGCCTGAATTCCTGGGAGCTGTCCCATGCCACCATTCCTGATGCTACCACTGTGAGCAAAGGTATCAGAGAGAGCTCCTCACATCTCTGCCAATCTCTTGATTTGAAATTACGTTACATGTGGACTGACCCAAAATCTGAGAGGGGCTTCAGCTGTGCGTGAGATCATTAGTGATGGAACGTGACCCTGGGGCACATCCGAAGGAGGGGCCATCCCATTGGACAGACAGTTTCTAAGTCCATGGTGTACACCATCCATCACTGCTTAATGCTGAGTCCCCAGTGCTATTGGATGCCAGGGTGGTCTGTGCCTTTAGAATGTGCAGAACATTCATCATCCCAGGTAGGCCCACTTTGCCTTATGTTAAGAGGCACTGTGCCCCTCCCTCTCTCAGGTCTCCCCTGTCTCCTGCCTGAGGTCTTTTCTCATTCCTTCCCAGGCCCTCCACTCTTTGTCCTTTTCTGGGTCCATTTTTTCCCGCTCCTCCATACATTTTCTCCCTTTGTCTTGCCCTTTTATGCTTTCTATTTTTGTTCTTCACTTTCCCTTTCTCTTACAGCCTCCTAAATGTTTCCACTTTAATTGCATTTCTTTCTACATTTCCTTTTCTTTTTATTTTCCGTCTCTCTCCCCTCCTCTCAATTACTTCTGTCTCACCTCTGCGTTGGAACCCTCTTCCATCACCTTGCTGAAATTCATACCATTGTGCCTTAGAATCCTTTTCTTCCTTTCGTGACCATCTAGCAGACTCATTTCCTCAGAGGACTTTACCTGAGCCTGGGCCAGATGCTTCCATTTTCCTGGGGTTTTAGCTGCTATGGAAACAGAAGATGGATCAAGGGGAGAGGAGCTGGATAATGAGAATCTACCTGTGGATTAGAGTAATTTAGATGAACAGCTTTTCCAGATCCCTGGTCCAGATTATCTATCCCAGATTCAAACTGATGAGACATGCCAAGCAGTAACTAATCACCTCGGACTCACCCGGGTGCCGTTTTCCTGGTGACTGATTATTTGGAGATCAGAGATGTCATTGCGCTACTGCCAAATCTCAACTGAGGGTAGAGACCCTTAGCAGTCAGACCTTCATCTTTCCCCGCTAGATATTTCCAGAAAGGTGCTTATTTTAAATCAGTTGGGACAGGCTTGGGGTTCCTTGGAGAAAAAGATATGCCACACCTTAGCAAAAGCTCCAAAGGCAAAGAGCTATTGTCATCTTTTGTCTCATTCTGTGCAGGTGAATCATGTTTCAATCAAGATCATTCTTAGTTACACACCTATTAAATCCTCAAGTGGACAGCTGATGGAGGCTAAGCACTTTCAGCAACCCAATGGCTTCATTGCATTTTCTCTCTCCAGACTGATCCGTTTGTTCTGTACATTTCTGAAAAATCCTAGTTTCCTCCATCTAAGTCATATGGTGCTGCTTGTAATAAACTTATATAGACCTCTTTAGAATTTGTATTTGCAGGCTTGATCACCTTTTGTATGGAAAAGGAATACAGAAATATTAACTACCATTTTAGTGGTAGTGGCTCATGCATTTTGATATGCAGAAGCTAGGAGTGACTGTCTAGTAGGAAGGGGGGTGGGGGGCTTTGCCCATGAGGTCATCTGCCTAGCACTTTACATCAGATGGAGAAAATGTCAGTTGTCCATATCCAAGATGGAGAGGGTGGTAAGGGCTGCCAAGCTACCTCTCGGCACTGCCGTTGATCATGAAAAGTAGTTTTTCACTTGTTACTGGTAGTATGTCTTTTGAGTTCACTCATGAAATTACTGCTCCAAAGAGTTCAGGGAGAAAGTGCACTAGCTTTGTAAAGATACCTGCCCTCATTCTGCACGTCTATTTTGGAGTGTGCAGCTGTGGCTTGCACCTGCAGAGGCCTTGGTCTTTTCAGGAGGAATAGCCCGCATTTCACTGTCTCACATGGAAATGCCACCTCGATCTGCATGAATGTTTTATAAGCACTCACCGAATTCCGTGGAAGTGTTAGTGTACTACTTCAGGTGCTGAAGTACCATCTATGGGCCCATGGTCTCTAGACACATTTCCCGTTCATGACCCTGTGCCTTGTCTTTTGTCCTTGTCTAGGCAAGAGTTTATTTTAGCACAGCCTTTAAGTTCTAGTCTTTCTATCTCCAAAAGGATACCTTTAATGCTCTCTATTCTTCTGAGTCTGCCCGAAGTCAACAGAAGTACTATCTCTTTCAATGTATCCTAAAAGATGCTCTTTAGGACCTCACGCTCATAGAAGAGTATTCTCAAAGCCCAATTTTTATGTCTTCAGCTTCTGTTGGATTGTAAGACCTTTAGAGAAAAGGCTGAGATGCCTTATTGCCACATTCCTGGGAGCCCAACGTGAAACTCAGGTGAAAGTATGAGTCTGACCACTGATGTGTGGGTTCCACAATACATATGGAATCAGGGATCACTGAGTGTCCTAATGGAGCTCCCCTCTTGGGTGCACCTAAGGTGGGTGCCCCACCTTTCTCCCATCAAACAAAACACTGAGAAGAAAAACCACCACGTGTACTGAAAGAACACCTTGTATCCAGATATTGGTTAGGGGCTCAGACAGGTCCAGTGATCTGCTCATAGAGATGTCCTGATTTCTGATTCATGAGTTCTTTGAGACCAGGGCCTACATCTCATTTATCTTTGATTCTTCACCTCCTAGCACAATCAATGCCCAGCACCTAGAAAGCTTCTAAGAAATATTTGTTGATTCAGTGAACAAGCATTTATATTTGCCAGTGCCCCACAGGAACATGCCTATTCTCCCAGTTCCAAGACTTCCTCTTGATCCTTAGGGAACTCTCCTCCACTTTGATGTTGCAGTTCAGACCTGATGTGTTTACTGCTGCAACTCTGCTAGCAAGTCTCTAGGACATTTTCTGTGGTCTTCACAGAATCTTCTAGCCTTGCCTGAAGTTCTCCTAGTCGGGAACCTGATGTGGCAGGGCTCAACTTCTACATGGAGAGACTCCTTTTCGAGTTCTCTTTTACAAAAGCTGAGAAGGCTCACAAGTGACTTTGAAGGTGCGTCTTCTGTGAGCTCCCTTCTGCCTTCATCACTGCCTCACTGCAGTCACTCTCCTGATGTGTCTGTTTCTCTGACTTGCTCTTCATCTGGCCCTTCTGGGGCACCTCATCCTTTTGGTGACTTACTGTTTCCAACCCTATCCATGCCTAAACCCTCAGTGACTGCCAATAGCTCTGTAAAACAATCCTGGAT